GCAGAAAATACTGCATCTCAAATCAGTCATCTCGGTTCCTGATACAGACAACACCGAACGAAGAGAAGGTGTGATAATTGCAATCAAATTCCAAATGTTCATTTTGAGGGTTCCAAAACATGGATATCACATGAATTCCCTTTTAACTCATTGCATATATACATGGATGCACTGGCTCTTTACTCTCCCACGACTACACGGCAGATGCCGTGAATCTCAAGGACCTAAATACTGATAATAAACCACCTTCCAGTGGTGGCAACGCCGTGAGATGCAGCTAGCACTTTAGAGAGGTTGAAAGAACACAATTGCATTTGTCAGGACGTCAAGCAATACAACCGTCAGAGCAGAACTAACAGCAAGCAAAACTTAAACAGTACACGCATATTTCTGACAGAGGCATTCGAGAACGGTCCAAATAGACCTTCAAGACGATGTCAGGACGAAAGTTACTCATTTGGCTTCTAATCAAATGTCCTTACGGTTGACCTGTGTAATTCTCCTGCTTGCAGACCCATCAAGCCCTAAGAGATGCTCCACAAACAATTCTTTGGAGAGTTCGGGTTTAGAAGTCGGAGTAGTAATTGTTTCTGTCTTGCGAACATCCACACTTTACCTGAATACAGCCTAATAATGGTTGCTTAAAGAAGACCCCTTTGGACGGCACCCAGGATGTGGCAGATGGTCATTTATTACCATAATTAACGATACTTAAATAGAATAGCTCTTCATCAAGTCATAAGTAAACATGAACAGATAACTCACCATCAATTGTTTTTGCCATATCATAATTGATGACCATGGAAACATCCTTTATGTCAATACCGCGACCAGCCACATCAGTTGCCACAAGAATCTCCTTTTGACCCGACTTAAGGCTTGCAAGAGCGTACTCGCGATGCTCCTGACCCTTTCCACCATGCAGCACCACCGCTGAGTGGCCAAGCTTATCCAGACCTTTAGCCAGCATGTCCGCGCCCTTCTTCTGGTTCACAAAGATTATCACTGGCGGTTCGATTCCGTCATTCAGTATCTCCAAGAGCTTCTTGCTGTAAATGGGAAAGGAAGTCAGAACACAAAAAGACACTACTTAGCTGAATATAAGCAGTGTTTGGTAGAGAAGAAGAAATTCCTTCCCCTTACCGCTTGTCATTTTCCTGTACCATGTAGACAATCTGTTCGACACGATCGGTGGGTTTACCGGCAGTTCCAACATACACTGTAGCTGGACGACGAAGATAGGATCTTGCGAGTCGCTCAACTGCTGGAGGCATAGTTGCAGTAAACATAACTGTCTGCCTGTACTTCTGTTTTGTGGAGAAGTTGGCCAGGAGTTTCTCATCTTGTTCAGCTTCGTCCGTATCAGGCTTCTGATTGGTCACAGG